GGGGGAGTCCAACTGGAATTTTAATTTAGAAAAGGAAAACAAACTCCATACCCAAAATATAAATAATCCATCTTAAAAATGGGCAGAAGACATGAACAGACATTTCACCAAAGACAACCAGATGGTCAAGAGACACATGAAAAGATGCTCAACATCACTCATCAGGGAAATGCAAATCTGAACCACAATGAGATACCATCTCACTCCTGTCAGAATGGGTGAAATCAAAAAGAAAACAATAAGCGTTGGTGAGAATGCAAAGAAAAAGGAACCCTTGTGCACTGTTGCAGGGAATGCAAACTGGTGCAGTCACTGTGGAAAACAGAAGATAGGCTCCTCCAAGAACTAAATAGAATTATTATATAATCCAGTAATCACACTCTGGGTATTTACCCAAAGAATACAAAAACACTAATTCAAAAGAATATATGTGCTCCAATGTTTACTGCAATATTACTTAAAATAACCAAATTATGGAAGCAGCCCAAGTGTCCATCAACAGAAGAAAGGAGAAAGAAGACGTGGTGTGTATACATACAATAAAATATTATTCATCCATAAAAAAGAATATCTTCCCATTTATAGTGACATGGATGGAGCTAGAGAGTATTATGCTAAGTGAAATAAGTCAGTCAGAGAAAGACAAATACCAAATGATTTCTCTCATATGTGGGATTTTGGAAATAAAACAAATAAGCAGAGGGAAAAGAGAGACAGACAGAGAGACCAAGAAACAGACTCTTAAATACAGAGAACACACTGGTGGTTACCGGAGGGGAGGTTATTGGGGGAGCGATGAAATAAGAGACAGGGATTAAGTGTACACTTATCATGAAGAGCACTGAGCAACGCAGAGAATGTTGACTCACTATATTGTACACTTGAAACTAGTATAACACTGTGTGTTGATTATGCTGGAATTAAAATTTAAAACTTCATAAAATTTAAGAAAAGAAAAAATAAATAAAGCATACTTGGATTGAGGCTCAAAAACCCCTCAACATTTATCAAAATAAGTTTTTTTACCCTTGTATTTAACAAAAATTTGTTGATTTTTGTAAGCACATGCTAATTCTCATAGGCAATAAAAAATGACTATGGTGGGGTGATTTTCTTTTTTCCTGAATGGCTGTATGATAGCAATAAAACATGAGTTTCTTCCTGTTTGTCTTTGCAAAAATACCCAAGGGCTTTATCAGTTTTTATTTTTAATTGACAAATCATCCTTTCTCCAAGGAGTCACTGCCCAGATGATCTCCTGTCTCCAATAGCTGATTAGTTTTGCCCCATAGTGCCACCATCAGTGGCTTCTCATGGGGACAGAGCGGCTTCCCAACATCACTTCAAATGACCACATGAAATCCCACATTTTCCCTGCAAGGCTGGCAATTTTATTATGCCATCTATTTGTACGGTACACGTACATCATAAGATGTTTAAGCCCTGACCTCCAAGGCGAGCCTTTGTCCAGAGGACAGGGAGAGATGCTAAGTAGGGATGGATCTTACAGGTGAGAGTCAATGGTTAGGAGACAGAAATTGTTTACGCTTCCCTACAAAATGCCCTAACGGTCAGGATGACTTTCAGGCATCCAATATGCACACAGGTGACCTCTGAACAACACGGCTTTGAACTGTGCAGGTCCACTGATCTGTGAATTTCTTTCAACAACTACAGGACAGTACTGTGAATGTATTTTCTCTTCCTTAGGATTTTCTTAACAAAATTTCTTTAAGCTTGCTTATTTATTGTAAGAATACAGTATATAATACAAATAACACACAAAGTATGTGTTAACTGTTTACATTAACAGTAAGGCTTTTGTTCAACAGTAGGCTATCAGGAGTTAAGTTTTGAGGGAGTCAAAAGTTACATGCGGATTTTTCACTCCTTGCGGGTCAGCACGAGGGTCATTTGTACCTGTATATCCACCATGCTTAAGAGATACATTAGATACAATGGATTCACTGTGTCTTCCAGATCCTACACCCCTTCATCCCTCTCCAGAGCTCACTTCCTCCAACTTCATGTCAGAATTCCCCTTCATGCTTTTATTCTATACCCAATGCAATCCTGCTTGTGCTCTTTTAAATTTTATTTAAATAGTATCACACCAAATGTATCCTTCTCAAACTTGCTTTCTGCTATTTACTTAACACTGGTTTGGTTTTTTGAGATTTATCTGTATTGATGTATGTGGTTTTTTTAAATGTTTTATTTATTTCTGAGAGAGAGAGAGAGCGTGAGCAGGGGAGGGTCAGAGAGAGAGGGAGACACAGAATCTGAATCAGGCTCCAGGCTCTGAGCTACCTGTTAGCACAGAGCCTGACGTGGGGCTCGAACCCACGGACCATGAGATCATGACCTGAGCTGAAGTCGGACGCCCAACCGACTGAGCCACCCAGGTACCCCTTGATGTATGTGTTTTAATGCTTGTTTCATTTTGTATTATTTTATTACTTTTTTAGTTTTAATTAAAGTATAGTTGACATACAGTATTATATTAGTTTCAGGTATGCAATAGAGTAACTTGATATTTAGGTACATTACAAAGTGCTCCTCATAGTAAGTGTGGTCACCATCTCTCACCTCTTTCACATCTGACACATGTCACTATAGTATTATTGACTATAGTCCCTATGCCATACAAGCGCTTGATTTTTACTTCTCACTATGCTCCACTGTCTAAATAGACTATACCTTGCTTTTTTCCTGTTGATGGACATTTATGTTTTCAATTTTATTTTCTTTTGCCATTCTAAACGGTTCTGCAACAAACATTCTGGTACAACTTCTCACACATGTGTGCCAAGTGTGACTGTCAGGTGTGGTGAGTGGACTATCAGGAATCCACACCAGGCCATGACTTGAGCACAAAAACTAAGAGTAAACATTTAGAAAACTCTGTGGCACTTTGACATTGCTGTGACATCACATTTTTGAAAAGGTCAACCCATGAGAGATAGAGATTGGTAGTTTTACAAACTGGTCCTTTACCACACATAGTTCGAAAAGCACAGCTCTAGGGAATGAACTAGGAGAGAAATTGCTGAGTCATCAGATGCTTGAGTATCTCCCACCTTGCAGATACCATCACACTGCTCTCCATGGGAACTGCACCAATATCTATGCTCAACTGCAACATTTGAGAATCTCTGTTGCTCCAGAATCTCTCTGTTTGAGACTCCACCTCCACTCTTGGAGATGTCAGATGTTTAAACTGAGGATCTGACCTTTCTATTGCATTCTTACTGGCACTATTCAAACTTCCACCGAAGGGCGGAAGCCCGGGTACCCACCTTTCCCTATTGAGCCGACACCAGAGCTACTTTTCCCAATGGTGCTGATCAGGTAGTCGAAAGCTGTCTCCTTGGCTTTGAGGTGGAGGAGCAGGCTGGCCTCCACGAAGTGCCTTGTGACATCCAGATGATTGGAACCTACTAAAGGAGTCATCGAAGCAACTCAGTTTCCTCCCAGCACAGGGCTAATGCTTCCAGGAAAGGGTCTCTGTAAGTGGCCCAGGAAATAAGGGTAGAGGGAAGATCTACTCCTAGGGTAAGCAAGGATGAGGGTCTTTTAATGGAAGGGTCTCCTTAATGGAAGGGTTTCAATCTCCCAAGACCTGTCAGGTGGCATTTTGCTCTCTACTCCCCTTACCCTTCTCTCTTCCTACCCACAGGCCAGGGTCCTGGTGCCATTAGTATTTAAAATAACATTTAGAAGGTCCTAGAAGCATCTAGAAGGCTCAATTACTGATATGGCTCTCTCTTCCTTCCTTGATCTTAGGGTTACACCCTTACCATGGATGGTCTTGCTTACCATGGAGGTCTTACCCTCAGCCATCTCAATTCACCCCCTCCTCCTGGGTACGGCCTCTCTCTACCTCTGGTTCATTTCCATAAAATCCACCCTGCAGTGCCTTTGGCCTCACACTATTCTTCGCAGCCTACCTTCCAGTATGAGCTCCGTAACACTGGGGGAAGGGGAGGAAAAAGTGGAGAAGAGATTAGGGTGTGAGGATGACTGTTGAGGGGAGGTATGAGACACGGTTCAATCCCTATAGCAGACCCATGGCCGCCACCTATCCCCAGTTTACCCTTATAAATCTGGCTGTGATGGCTGTGGTGGCCACACACACATCAGTCTGGGCAGATCCTTCCTGGCTCAGATAAAATGGAGAAGAATCCAGCGAGCCAGGCTTACCAGACGCAGACTCCATCATGGCCTTCCTCTTCAGGGTGAGCAGCTCTGTGAGCAGGTGGATGGACCGCCGCTGGAACTTGTGCAGGGCTTCCCGGCCATGGGTGGGAGAGCGGGTTAACCTGGCAGGCCCAGTGGGTGCGGGCAGCAACGGTGGTGGTAGTACCAGTGGTGGCGCCTTCTTCTGGACAGGGGCCTGCGTGTAGGTTGGTTCCATAAGCACCACGGGTGGGGGTCCAAAGCTGATCTCCAGGCCCAGGATGTAGGACGCAGTAGGCACCATGGGGTAGGCAGTAAGTTCTTCCCAAGTGAACTCAAAGATGTTCCTAATGCCCTTGGGTACAGAAATGCCTGAGTTCCAGCAAAGGATGAGCAGTTTGGAGATGCGGGCCAGCAGCCTGGGGGCCGAGGCCGTGTATTGCTGGTACAATTCTCTGTTGCTCTTGATGCCGTTCATGTTGCTAGAGTACACATACTGTTAGGTAACACTGTCCATCTTAGACAAGATGGACCTTCAGCTGTAAAAAGTCAGGGCCACTGAGAGGTGACTGAGGGTGAAAAGTTCTTACCTAAGGTGAAGCCTTGGAGACAAACAGAATGGAAGTGCTGAAATGGTCTTTACAGGTCATTGAGTGGGTCCTATCCAGGGAGGACAAGGAAATAACTGGTCCCTCCTCACACAGAAGGGCAAAGGGATGCCCCTCTTCTCTTCTCTTCCTTTCCCAGAGAGAGCAACACATAAACCCACATTGGGTGAGTCGCTTTGGGAAGGGACTTGGGGATGACCAGATTCCGGAAATGGTTCTAGGGACAGTCAGACAAACCAAGTACGTCGTGGGAGGGACACGGAGGGGCTGGAGGAGTGGAAAGGATGGGGAAGGGAGAAAGGTTCTACTGTACCTTTTATAGTTAGAGGCCTGAGAGTAGAAGATCTGCTTGTAATCTATAAATAAAAACCTGCAAAAACAAACAAAAAGAGGTTTCATTGGCTCTCTGGAGGAAGTGATGCGGAAGTTCCCAGCGGCAAGGCAAGGGTGGGCATGCAATTATTCAACACGTACATCCAAGGGCAGACAGCGAATACATTTTCTCAATTCAATAACTAATATTGGCCACATTTCATCAAATCAAGGTTTGATGTCATTGACTATAAGATGCACCATCTTACAAGAAAGAAAAAAAATCAATGTAAGATGCCACTAACTATAAGACATATCAAAATTTAAGAGATGATAAAATGAGGGAAATGCCTATCTTAAAATCAATGAACTATTGTTGGAGTCCGGCTCCGGCAGGTCCAGGGATCCCTGAAGGATGATGGACAGTGTCGGCGAGAGAGAGAGAGAGTGAGAGAGCCCCGAGATTCTTTCTGATCACCAGGCAGGCATCTCTGTCCTGTCGGTTTTTGTGTCTTTATTTAAAGGTTCAGCAACAAGATGAAGTCATAGAAAGGAATTTCTTACAATGGGAGGCCTTTTGTGATAACAATAGTAGAATTATTCTGACCAAGAAAATAACAGAATGTTCTTAGTGAAAAATAAGATAACATATAGGTCAAATTGTATATAGATAAGTTAGGAGTATTTTGTCTGGCTCTCAAGAGGATGAATGTTTCTGAATTGGTTTGTTTGTGGAGACTAACATGGGGGCCCTGAATGGGTCAGTCTTTTGCCCCTGGGTTATGTTTAGCTACTCTTATCTATCCTCATCCCAGCTGCCATTGTAAGAGAGGGTGTTTGTGGAAAGTAGGCCTTGAGGAAGGGACTGTTATGTTTCAGCAATTAGCAAAGATATATGTGGTAACTATGTTTTGCTCTTAACCCCAAAATAGGCCCTTGGTCTCAGGGCCAGGCTCAATTGTAATTCTTGTGTTCTTAACCCCCTAAGTCTCGGATCTGCAAGGCCCATAAGAAGAGCCTTTTAACAATTTTCCCCACAGAGCTTTCATCTAAAATCTCTTTTGTAAAGGCAGGAATATGCTTTTCCTTATGAGGTATCTGTATTCAGAATATGGGTCTGATATGGAATATTGTGAGGCCTGGTTGATACCAGCAGACTTATATCCAACAAGAGCCTATAGTAGCAGAAGATACCAGTTTTCATTTCTCAGGGCAGGAGCTGCAAGCATTGTCACTTCCTTGCTGTGATTGCCATCCAGAGAGGCCAGTGTGGCTCCCGGCAAACTATGATAAATATTTTCCCACTTTAACAGAACTTCTTGAGGGCTCTGCCTCCTCATCAAGTAAAGTGTAGGGTAGCAGACGTGAACACCATTGGGTGCTATGGTGGTTCGTATCCTTACTTCTAAATTGTGTTTTATTCTTATTTTCTCAATGTATGTCAAAAATAGACCCCTGGTTGGGGTGCCTGACTGGCTCAGTCAGAAGAACACATGACGCTTGATCTTGGGGTCGTGAGTTCAATCCCATTGGGTATAGAGATTACTAAATAAATTAACTTAAAAAAATAGAACAATGACTGCAGAGAAGGAGTGTGAAGAACAATTTGATAAACACAAAAATGGCTGGGAAAATCCACAACTAGACTTCAAGGGTTTTGTAATCAGATCTGAAAGTTTCATTTCTCTAATCAAAAGGAACCCCTCAAGAACATTCTTCAGTAATATATCAGTCTAAAATACACTGACAAAAATGTAACGTCACTTCTTAATCTTGCACTACACAAAAATGATGATTATTTCTTTTTAATTCTGGAGAGGCTTTGTGAAAATACGAGCCTCTGCCAGAGATGCTCAAGAATCCAGAACATGTCAGAAAAGCTGACCTATGGGAAGCTTAGAGCAGACGGGGGCAGGGTCCTCCCCCACCACCTTTGCAGCATTTCTATGCCATACGGACCAGCTGTCCCTGCAGTCTGACTTCAGGGACCCCCAACTTCTGCCAATCCTGCTTATTACCACAGCCTCCCAACCATCACCTCTACCTTCCATCCTGACGACCACTCCCCAAGAGGTCTGTGCTGCTCTCCTCCTGCCAGACAGTCCTCATTCTTTCATTTTTCAAACCACGCCCTCTGGAGTCACCCCAAAGCCGCCCTGCGGGGTGCACAGCCAACGTTTACCAGAGCAGGCTCAGGGCCACGATCTGGTGTGACCGCCCCGGGGTGAGATTACTCACTCTCCCATTTCACTGATGAGGAGTCAGAGGCCTAGGGAGACAGAGCTCCTGATCAGGCAGGAATTGCCTATGTGCCAACCCTCGGCCTTCGAGATGCCTCTGCCCATCTGTCAGCAACAAAACCCCCGAGAAACAAGGGTTCCATAGAGCAAAGCCTTCCGACACCCTGGTTTACAGAGAAGTGGCTTCCTAGGTCTATTTGCTGACCTCCCAGCAAAGGAGGTCTCAGAGACTCAGAAAAATAGTTCATTTTTTAAATGAGAAGTCTGCGGAACAAAGAAACCACTTAGAATCTCGGTCATCTGGGCAACCAGCCAAATGGATATGACCCTGACCAAGCAGGGCAGATTTTTTTTTTTTTTTTTTTAAAGCTAGGGCTCAAATGAAGGGAAGACAAATACAGTCCTTGAAATGTACCCCTCCTACCAGTTCATTTGTTTTGAGGTTAATTTTGAAGATAGATCTTATGAACAGATAAAAGCTGATTTTTAAAGCAATTTTATTGAGATATAATTCACATGCCATATAATTCACCCTTTTAAAAGTGTACAGTGGTTTTTTTAGTAAATATTCAAAGTCATGCAACAAATACCACTATCTAATTTTAGGACATTTTCCTCACCCCCAAAGGCGATTCACTAGCAGTCCCTCCCCTTCCCCCTCACTCCTAGGCAACCACTAATCTAGTTTCTGTCTACAGAGTTGCCTGTTCGGGGCATTCCACATAAATGCAATCATCATACACTGTGTTGTCTTTTGTGACTGGCTTCTTTCACTCAGCATGTTTCCAAGGTTCATCCGGTGTTGTAGAACGTGTCAGCATGTCATTCATTTTTACGGCAGAATAATTATATGGATAGACCACAATTTGTCGACCCCTCAGTGTCTGATGGACATTTTGGTGGCTTCTACTTTGGGCTATTACGAATAGTAGTACTATGAATAAGTACACTTATGTACAGGTTTTTGCTTGGATGGCTATCTTCATTCTCCTGGGTGGATACCTTGGAGTCGAATTGCCAGGTCATATGGTAACTCAGTGCTTAACATTTTGGGCTGTCAGATTGGTTTCCAAAGTGGCTGCACCACTTTACAGTCCCACCGACAAAGTAGGAGGGCTGTAACTAATCCATGTCCTTGTAAACACTTGTTATTGTGTCTTTTTGATTCTCGAGCCATTCTAGAGGGTACAAAGTGGTGTCTCATTGTGACTCTGACTAGCATTTCTCTAATGACTAATGATGGTGAGCATCTTTTTGTGTGTTTATTGACCAATTTATATCTTCTTTAGAGAAGAGTCTACCTGGACCTAAAAGCTGTTTGTTTTTTTTTTTAAAGAATCATCATTTAAAATTTAGTATTACTATATGTTTATTATACATTATATATGTTATAATATAATCAACATAATATTATAATTTCTACTTACCTGTATTTGTTGTCATATATTTCTGTCTTCAAAATTCAGCTAGAGGTACCCATGTGACTAAATTCTGGCCTCTGAAATGAAAGCGGAGCTGCTGGGTAGGACCCTGAGATATTTTTAAAGGAAGCTACCTTCACGGACAGAACACCTGCTCTTTCCTCAGAGCCCTTCTCCTTCCTCCTGCCTGTAGCTTAAGCAGCCATGAGATTGGAGAGGGAAGCCATGCATTAACGGTGGCTGAGCAGAGCACCGGACCCTGGGGTCCTGACAACTGGCACCCCCACGCCAACACTCGGCCACCGACCTCTGAACCACTTCACGGGACAGAACGAGCCACTTTATTCATATCTCTACCCGTGCAGTCCACTGTGACTCCTGACTGACAGCCAGCCATGTTGGAGTATCATCCACCCTCCTTTTCCCATAAATGCTTATTATTCTGTCATTCATTTTTCCATCACTGAGACACAGGCCTTGCCCTCAAGTAGCTCAACATTTAACAGGTAGGTCAGACTTAGAACAAAACTGACTTGTAGACTACAGGATAAAGGTCACACTACAGAAAAATAGACACAGGCCATGAAAACCCAAAGAAAAAGGTCTAATGGAAGCAGCACTGAAGATGGTTATAAAAGACGAGCAGAGGTTGTCACGTAGATGGGAAGGAGAAGGGGTTCTAGGCAAAAGGAACAATATGTACAAGGGAACAGAAGCACTGAAAGCATGGTGGCTCAGAGCCCTGCAAAGCCTATCTGCTTGATTGGGGTCTATGGGAGAACAGTAGACGAAGTTGGAAAAGTGGTCTCGAGTCAGATCACAAAAGCCTTGCATGTCATGCCAAAGAATTTGCATGTATTATGCAATCAAGTATTCAAGTGTATTGTCTTTAATCAC